TCTCTGTTCTACTTTGCAATTCCTTGTCCTGTCTTACCTTTCCCTCACTGTAATTATTCTTCTTTGCATTGTGTGTAAACTGGTTTTCATTTCTCAAACGCAAAAATATCTCCACTTCTCTTTTTTTTTTATTTCTTAAGACAGCTTCAGTGTCTTCTATCGTCTTGCCATATAGTCTCTGAAGAACTGTATCTCTGCTTTAAACACTTTATTTTTATAGAGATGACTGATTGACCAATATTTTGCATTGAGTAGTGTATTTGGTTAGAGCTCTGACCTAGCTCGTGACGGTGTTTTTCTGGTAAGTATTTTTCATTTGACTTTTGCTTTTCCTTCTCAGTTCCCCCTTTTTCTCATTGTGTAGCTCCTGAGTGAGTTACTTTTTGGTTTATTATTCGTCTTTTCATACTGTAATTTCTTCCTCTTTCAGCCATTGCTAGAAGGATTTGTGGGGAAGCAGCCAGGCCCTATTCTGGGCTAGTAGAAATCCTTTTTTCTTTTTTCTTTTTTTTTTTTAACCAGAGTTGTTTGTGATTAGGTGCTTTTAGCTCACTCATTCCAGATCTACAGGGGCTGATGGTGTGGAACTAGTCTCCTCCACCCGCCTCTCAGTAACTGCTATCTGAAAGTTCCTGCACGTCTTCTTTTACAGCCTCTCCCTCCCTGCTCCATCTTCAGCCACACAATGTCCAGGGCAGGGAGCTTTCACCTCCAGCCCATGCACCCATCATCCTGTCCTTCCAGACAAGAGATCATGGCTCACACCCTTCAAGGCACACTGTCTACTTTGGAAAGCTGGTGGCCGCGTCTATGATTTGCTGTCACCGGTGTCCTTTCCTGGAGTCTTCTCAGACCCCCTTGGAACTCACGCACTGGGCAGCCCTTCCTCTTGTAGATTGTCTTTTCATGTTATCTTAGTTTCAAATGCATTTGCATTTTCCCTCACTTTTCTGATAGCTTTTGTGTGATTTCCAAGAGGTGCAAGAAAAGAAACCATTATTTTTTACTATCAATAAAAAAAGATTACTGTTAAAAAGGAAAAAATGGCAAGCAAGTATAGAGAAGCTAGAAGAAGTAGGGAACTGGGTCCTTTATTTAAAATTAGATGTTTGTGGTATTTCATTCATTGAGTCATTCTACAGCACGTAGTGAGTGGGGCTATGGAAGGGTTTTGTGAGGTACAGAGAAGTATGACGTGGTTTGTGTTTTCAAGGACCTCATAAGACAGTGAGTAGATAAAAACGGAAAGATCATTTTCAAAGTGAGGAAGTGGGTATTAATGACAAACGAATCTTCTTACAACACGCGCTGCACAAAGTTAGGGGAAGCAGAGCAGTCCAACTCTGAAGCCGCCTGGAACAGAGGCAGGGTCAAAATGGTTTACATACAGACTGTCTAAACTTGGACTGCTTATAAAGTAATAAAGTCACAGAAATTATCCCTTTTCTGCAATTTAAACTTGATTCAATCGATTAGAAATACTGGCCCTTGAATGACTGCCTTACCTGTGTGTGCAAGTGTGTGTACGTAACAAGTTGAGAGCTTTTTTCTGAACGTCTAGCCTCCCTTCCCTAGTGAGTGAGAATGCTTTTCACACAGGCTTTCCACAAGCAGTCAAGGGCTCCTCGGGGATGGGTTACTTGGCCTTTTTCCCTAGAGAACTACGCACTCAATACCTTGCATGGTTTACATTTTGAGTCAGTCCCCTGTGCCCGGTGGCCATGACAATGGAATTGTTTGGCCTGGCTATTTTAGACTCCGAGCTCAGAACTGCCAAATATAGAAGGCTTTCTCTCTAATTTGCCTTCATCTCCCGTACTCAGTCCAAGTAGCTTTTTACAAGGGAGAGTCTCAGACATGGCCTCTTAATAAAGGATTAGTCAGGAAAGAGTGAATCAGGACCATCCTGGTGTCTTCCGGCTTTACTGAAGGGCTCAGAGCACTGTGCAAGTATTAAGATGAGACTGCGGAGCTGGGGTATTCTTTAGAAACTGTTGGTATGATGACATAGATGACATAAGGAGAAGAAACAATTTATACAGAGGAAAAAGAGTTTAAGGTAACATACAGAATGTCTAACAAATTACAATTTTTAAAAACTTTAAATAAAGTGGTTTCTTTTATAATTAAAATAATCTCCATTTAATACTAAGTCTTCCAAGATACAGAAGCCAATAAGTACTGGCAAAGATACTCAACAGTACTAGCAATTAGAAAAAGTAAAGTTACAATAATACCATTACCTCCCTCAAAATGACTTTTAGAAAGCTGACAGCACCAGGCTGGGTGCGGTGGCTCATGCCTGTAATCCCAGCACTTTGGGAGGCTAAGGTAGGTGGATCATCTGAGGTCAGGAGTTTGAGACCAGCCTGGCCAACAGGGTGAAACCCCATCTCTACTAAAAATACAAAAAATTAGCCAGGCACAGTGGCGCATGCCTGTAGTTGCAGTTGCTCAGGAGGCTGAGTCAGAATCACCTGAACCTGGGAGGCAGCGGTTGTGGTGAGCCGAGATCACACCACTGCCCTCTTGCCTGAGCAACAAGAGTGAAACTCCAACTCAGACCAAAAAAAGAAAAAAGAAAAAGGAAAAAAAGGCTGACAACGCCAAACACTGATGAGAATGAGGATCTACGGGATTCCTCAAACACGGCTGGTGGGAACACAGGATGGCACGGCCACTTCAGAGGGCGGTCTGACAGCTTCTCATAGAGTTAAACACACACTTACCATATAACCTAACAATCCAATTCCTGAGTTTTTACCCAACAATAACGAAAACATGCATCCACTCAAAGACCTATACCCAAATGTCTACAGCATCTGCATCAGAATCGCTCTGAAGCAGTCCAAATGTCCCTCAAGTGGTGAACAGCTGAACAGTGTGTGAATCGTGGCACCCTGACATTCACATGCTGGAGTACTACACAGCAGCAACAAGCAAAACACTGACACATGCAACAACTGGGTGAGTGTCATCATGCTAAGTGAGAAAGCCAAGCACCCTATTATTTCATGCCCTGTTACTCATTTACAGCTCACTGTGGAAAAGCTAAACCTGTAGGGTCTGGAGGAGAGAAGAAAAGGGCACTGACTGCAAAGAGATATGAAGAACCTTTTGGGGGTGACAGAAATAGTCTCTATTTTAATTGTGGCCGTGGCTAAATAACTGTATACACAGGGAACTGTGTGCATATGTGTGTGTGTGTGTGGTCAAACTAATCAAACTGCATGTTAGAAATGGTGAATTTTACTCTATGTCAATTACATACCAATAAACTTGATTTTTTAAAAAATAAGTTCTTCAGCACCAAAAGAAAAGGCAACAAAAGTAAAGTAAAAGATAAATTAGACTACATCAAAATAAAAAACTTCTGTGCATCAAAGGTCACAAGCAACAGAATGAAAAGATAATCTATGGAATGGGATAAAATATTTGCAGATCATGTGTCTGATAGAGTTAATCTCAGAATATGTAAAGCGTGCCTACAACTCAACAACAATAAAACCAGTTCAAAAATGGGGAAAGAACTTGAGTAGACATTTTGCCAAAGAAAATATACAGATAGCCAACAAGCACATGAAAAGATGATCAACATGATTAATCCTCAGAGAAATCAAAACCACAATGAGATAACACTTCAAACCCATTAGGGTGGCTACTATCAAAAAGACAAACAGAAAATAACAAGTGTTGACGAGGATGTGGAGGAACTGGAACCCTTGTGAACTATTAGTGGGAATGTAAGATGACGCAGCCATTATGGAAAAAAAGTATGTCAGTTCCTTTAAAAACTAAAATTAGAATTACATTATGATCCAGTAATTCCACTTATGGAAATTTCACCCCAAAGAACTGAAAGAAGTCTTGAAGAGATATTAGTACATCCATGTTCATAACAGTATTATTCACAATAGCCAAGAAGTAGAGCATCTCAAGGGTCCATTGACAGATGAATGGATAAACAAAATGTGGTATATATATATAATGGAATATTACTCAGCCTTTAAAAAGAAGAAAATCTTGACACATGCTACAACATACATGAACCTTGAGACCATTACACTAAGTGATCCAAGCGAGTCATACAAAGACATGATTCCACTTATATGAGGTACTTAAAGTAACCAAACTCATAGAAACAGAAAGTAGACTGATGCTTGTCAGGAGCTGGAAGGTGAAGAGCATGGGGAGTTTCTGTTTAATGAGTACAGAGTTTCTGTTTTGCAAGACGAAGAGTTCTGGAGCTTGGTTGTGTGCGGGTAGTTAACACTACTGAACTGTACCCTTAAAAGTAGTTAAGATGGTAAATTTCATATTATGTATATTCTACCACAATTTTGGAAAGTTCCTCAGTTTACAGAACAGCGATGTGTCCTAATGGGAAAACCACAGGGTTCCAGGTCAGGAAGATGTGGTCCTTACCCTAGCCCTGCTTCTTTCTAGCTGTCTGAGCCCTGGAAGGTCTCTTTCCTTTTCTAAGTCACAGCTTCTGCATACATAAAATGGGGATAACCATACCCAAGAACAAACGTAAGTGCTGAATGGAATCTCATGTATGGAAATACTCGTGTGTCCCCATACAAATGTCAGCTGGTTAAGAAGATGATGCCCAGAAGTGTCAACGGAATGGCTGACATTTATACAATGAATTAGTGCCAAGGACAGGGCTACAACACAGGTTTCCCCACTCCCTATCCAGTGCTCACTTCTCTACACTAGCCGCCTTTTGTTCTTGTACTTGCTGTATGTACAGAATAACCTTGACCCCATCCGTCAGCTCACAAGGTCCCACTTCACATTCTCGGCTATAATAATGGATTGACCCTCTCTTGCTGCTTAACCCCATCTCTCTGAATGGGATTTATTAACCATGCCACTCAATGTCCAAACTGAGCAATGCTTGGGGGCATCTTCAGGAAGCATCTTGGAAATGTTGGTCCCCACTGAGCTGGTGGGTTCACAGCCGCTTCACTGGCTACCCCTGTTTTTGCACTCACCTGATGAATGTGGGGTACAGCTCAGCATTCACCAGGCAGATCATTTGGATTGCAATGGTGATTCCCATTCGGCCAACACACATGATCGTGATGTTTAACCAGTGCAGATCTGGAAGGGAAGCACAAAGAGGGTGTGGATGGTGGATGGGGGTTTTGTTCTCTGAGTTACTGGTGATAGGCCACAGTGGGTCATGCTTGGACTGTTAGAGCTGGTGCGGCCTGGAAGGTTGTCTTATCTAACTTTTTCATTTTGAGATCAGTAAACTGAGTCTCAAGAGATTTGGGGATTTGATGATGACATATTCAAGAAGACTCCACTGTGTGGGGGAAAGAAGGAGCTTTTGGAATCTCAGCTTGGTTTCCTGAGCTGTAGAATGGGAATCATGACACCCAGCTTATCATCATGAGACTTAGAGCTGATTGTGTCAAATGTCCACTGTGACCACAGAATTTTGAAGTTGGCTTTTCATTTATTATGTGAGAGCATCCTCTGCTAGTTCAGTTGCTGAAACACAGAAAGAACTCAATAAACATAATCCCCCTAACAGTAGTTCTCAAATTAACAAAACAGATTTCTGATCCTCAATCTAATATTCATTTCCAATACAGTTTTAACCAAAACGTCTTTCACAATAGTCTCAGAGGCTGAGAATTGGGGAAGTGTGCCCTTGTTTCACTCTGGCAGGCTGCTACGGGGCTCTTGACCTCCCGAAGGCCCAGAAAGCCCTCTCCCTATTGAGATTGGTCAAAGAATTTGGCTTCATTGGAAAGAACCTCAGCTCCTTAATAACCACCATCATCTGCTCTGCATGGGTTACCCCCAGCACTGAAATTCAAGTGACCTTGTGACACACAGCTCACTATAAAGGCCTCTGGGACCACAGACATGATGTCAGCTTGACTATTGTCCATAGATACTGGCTATTTATGGAAGTCTTGTTTCATTTCACTCAGCCAATAGGAGGATCCAAACGAGAGTGCCCCTCACCCATCTCATGAGTGCAACACAGTCTCTGCCTCCTGCAGCTCTCAGCCCTGGTGGAGAAGCCAAGCTGAGCCTTCCATTAAGGACTACACCTCATCTAGCTTCTAAAAGATAAAAGGTAAGGAGTTCACTCTGATGCCTCGAGGGAGGTCCTGGTTCACAGGTCTTTATCCTGATGATGCTTGGCTAGAGGTACACTGCATCCCTGGCCTCAGAGAACTGACCATGTCTCCACTCTCCAGGGCCACTCATTACAGAAGCAAGAGCAACCCAGTTAAGACTAAAATCAGGTCAAATCCACCCCTGCTCAAAGCCACCAGTGGTTTCCTACCACTCTTGGGATAAAGTCCGCAGCTGGCTATTTACCAGCTCACTCCACACCTCACTCCACTGCTCCCTACATGCTTGCCTGACCCTGGTTCCCAGATCCTGAGCGGTCGATCCAATGCCACAGTCTTCTCACCCCAAGGGCCTCGCACATGTCAGAACACTCTCCCCAGATTTTTAAATGGCTCTTCCCACTTCATTTAGACCTCCCTTGCCCATTGTAGAAAGCACTGACATCTTCTCTTTTCCCTCTGGAATGTCAGCTCCATGGAGCAAGATCTCTCTCTGCTTTGCTCATGGTTGAGATCCTAGGACCTAGATATCTGCCAGCCACATAGACGGCCTGGAGATATTTCCTGCAGGAGAAATGAATGACTGTCCTAAAATGCGATAAGGACTAAGACCGAGGGATGGGGGAGGGCTGGAGCTGGGAGGAGAGGGCTAGGGAGGGGATGACGCCTGGGCTCTGTCCAGGTGGCAACCGGATGGACTTAGCCCTCAGTCACCCTCCTTCTTGGCACTCAATGATGTTAATTTCTAAAAGTTTGCCCATCCATCATGTCTTACCCAGGATTCCAGAAACCAAGAGGTGGGGAAGAAAGAGGGTAAAATCTATTTCAGATCCATGCTGCTCCTTTTCCTGCATTCTCTGTTCTTTCCCCACAAAAAGAGGAAGAAGAAAAGCGCTTGCTTTTCCCACCCCTTTTTCTTTCCAGCCTGATCTCCACAGCCTGGTTTTTGGGCATACAGGCTTCACGGGAAGTCTCTACAATACCCTGCACGAAAGCCTGCCAGAATGAGTCACTAAGCCAACAAGTGCAGAGCACAAGCAATAAAAACTGAGAAGAGAGCAAATCTGCCCTTGTATTTATTTTATAACGTATCCAGAAGCAATGAATGTGAAAGGCAATGTATGTACTCAAATTAAAACTGACTGAAGTTCATCTGCTTTAGGTTTAAATGTAGCTTGGTTTATCTTTAATTGTAAGAATTACAGGCTAAAGTATACATCCACCGAAATGGCCACGCTTAACCAGACGAGTCATATCAAGCGTTGGGAGGATCTGGAATAATTGGAACTCCCATGTGTTCCTGGGAGGAGTATAAAATGGTTTCACTGCTTTGGAAAGCTGTTTGGCAATGTCTGCTAGAACTAAGCATATGCCTCCCTGGGACCCAGCAAGTGCATTCACAGACCTGTACCCAAGGGAAATAAGAGCATGTGCCCACCCAAAGATATGTGCAAGGATGACTTTAGTCCCAATGAGTGGGAAATGTTGGAAACAATGCAAGTGACAATCAACAGCAGAATGAATGCAGAGTGTCATATTCACACAATGGAATGCTAAACAATCATATTTTTTCAAGTGCCAACTACACTCTCATGTGACAACATGGGTGGATCGCACAGGTGCAGTGATGAATGCCTCATGCCTGTAATCCCAGCACTTTGGGAGGCTGAGGTGGGAGGACTGCTTGAGCCCAGGAGTTTGAGACCAGCTTGGGCAACATAGTAAGACCCCATCCCTATAAAAAATAAAAACATTAAATGGGCATAGTGGCTTATACCTCTAGACCCGGCTACTACTGAGGAGGCTGAGATGGGAGGATCCCTTGAGCCCAAGAGTTCAAGGTTACAATGAGCTGTGATTGCACCGCTGCACTCCAGCCTGAATAACAGAGCAAGATCCTGTCTCAAAACACAATAACAATAACAAAAATAGTGTATTTGGTATGGTTCCATCTGTATGAAGCTCATGAACAGACACAATCTGTGGTGACCAGGGGCAGAGTAGTGATGACCTTGGCAGGGGCGGCAGGGGTTGTCATGAAGGATCATGAGGGAGGCTTTGCAGGAGTTGAAAATGGTCTCCCTCTTTATCTGGATCCTGCTGCCCAGGTGTATACATTTTTTAAAACTTACAGAGTCATACACTTAGTTTATTGAGTGTATGTACATTAAACCTCAATTTAATTTTGCTGTTGTTGGTTTTTGGTTTTTGGTTTCTTTGGGAGACAAAATCTCACTCTGTCACCCAGGCTGGAGTGCAACGGCACAATCTCGGTTCACCACAACCTCCCCCTCCTGGGTTCAAGCCATTCTCCTGCCTCAGTCTCCCGAGCAGCTGGGATTACAAGCGCGTGCCACCAAGCCCGGCTAATTTTTGCATTTTTAGTAGAGACGGGTTTTCACCATGTTTGCCAGGCTGGTCTCGAACTCCTGCCCTCAGGTGATCCACTTGCCTCGGCCTCTCATAGTGCTGGGATTATAGGCGTGAGCCACTGTGCCCGGCCCCTCAATTTAAAAAAAAAAAAATTATAGACAAAGGTAACACCTCATCTTTGTTCTCGTTCCGGAAGCTTATCAAAGAGTTGCAATATTCTCCCCACACTTCCATTGCCTGGGAAATTGTGAAAACAGACAACTCACCAGGTGAGATAAAAATCTTGACGAGGCAGGCTGTCCCTGCCAACAGAGTTGACACGGCTAAGGGGTAGATACGGCCCACGCGGTCAATGGTGACGAGGGTGATGAAGGCCCCTGGGAATTCGACCAGAGTGGAGTAAAGGAAATCCAGGTAGAGATTCTCGCTGGTGGCACCCACGTGCAGGATGAGGCCCTGATAGAGCACAGAGCCGGTGAACCTGAGCCAAGAGGGCGTTTCAAGTCAAAGGCATGAGTCAGAGACTGATGAAGAAGCCCCTCCCAGCTGGAGAGGAGTGTGAGTCACTTGGTTTAGAATGTCCTAGGGCAATATGAGAAGAGGGGAGTAAATATTAGAAAACGTGTCTGCAAGGGCCCTTGATGATACATTTTCTTCATGACGGATGTGAGAGTATGACTTGCAGGACATGTCCCCAAGTCTCCTAGAGATCGCACGTGGTGATGGCTACTGTTCACTGCACTTAGATGTCTGGTTCTGCACCCAGCCCTGCACGTGTGTAACCTCATCTGGCACTCCAACAGGCCTACGAGGAGGTGGGCAGGAGAGGGCAGGAAGTGAGGGAGCAGGTTCAGGTGTCGGACTGCTTTATAAGCTGTGTCACCTTGAAGAAGTTAACTAACTTCTCTGGGCCTCGGTTCCCTCACCTGTAAATGGGATCGTAATAGTACCTACCACAATGGTTTGCCTTGAGCACTCGCTGAGTTAGTGTACAAAAATGCCATTTTAAGTTCCCAGCACACAGCACTGCACTCAGTAAAGACGAGCCGTCACTGTCATCATCGTCATCCTCTCTCCAAGGTGGAGGACCCAGGGCACAACAAACAGGCCTGGGCCCGCTTTTCCAGCTGCACCATGGCGTTCCCTGCCCCTCGCGGAGCTGTCCTTAGTGGGCGCCCTTGATTCACCTGCACTCTTCCATCCACTGCACACCCCCTCGGCTCCATATTTGAGAAAATATACCAACATTACAGAATATGGCACATAGACCCGAGGCCTAGCTAAATCGTTCTTACCTGCGCCAAATGTAGGGCACCTCATGTGTCACTTTGGGGGGAAAATATCATTTGGAAGCTGGAAAGCTTTTACAGTGGTATTTACATTGTGAGAAGAGATTTGGGAACAAGAAATTACTCTCTCATCCCAGCATGCAAATCGCCTGTCAGCTCCGAAACCGAGACGAAATGGATGTTTCTAAGGAGTGTATCGCCTTGTTTGAGAAAATTTCACCTAAAGCAGCATTGGGACGCTTTCGTTTCTAGTCCTAAATTATTCCTGATTAGACAACGGTCAAGAGAACAAGAAGGAAGGCCCTTGCCCGCACCTCAGTGCGTTTAGATTAGCCTGAGTGCCTCTGTACCATTTAGCCAGGTAAAGACAACAGTCATATTACTGATCAGGAAGGGACGTACAACCTCGACCTTCCTGTCAACAAGCCGGTTAACAAATGTGCCGGGCTGCCACCTGTGGGCAGAGCCCATGAATTGCATGTGCGTATTAACAGAAAAAAGGAACGTTGACACCGAACATCCCCCGCATCGCTGCTGTACCCTCCTCTGTGTCATTTACACGCATAATCTCACTAATCCTCCCACTACGTCTGTGAGATAGGAACTATCGCTACTCCCGTTACTGAGGAGGAAACTGAGTCACAGAAAGATTCAGGCCCTTTGGAAGGTCACTCAGCCAGGACATGGTGAACAGACCTTCCAAGTCTCAGTCATGACTTCCAGTAGGACAGTGGGAGAGGGTGTCCGGGGCCAATGGTGTGAGGCCTTGGGGGCCACAGAAAAGGATCTGACTTCATTCTCAGTGATTAGGAAGCCAGCGGAGGGTAAACAGGGAGAGACGAGGCCCGCCGAGCTCGAAGGAATGCCGCCACCTGCTTTGTGTAGCACCAAGGCGCGCGGGGGAAGCCAGCCGGCCACCCAGAAGGCGCCTGCAGCAAAGCAGGTAAGAGGTGCTGCAGAAACGTCCATGCAACAGCTGACGCTTCTACAACGAATTAGTGCCAAGGACAAGGCTACAGCCCCAGCAAGGGAACCCAGGGTGCCCACGATGGGAAGCAGCAGCTTCCGAGGCAGTTCCAAGCCAGCTGATGGAACTTGCCAGAGGATTGGAGGTAGGGGTAAGAGAACAGTTCCCTGCGGGGACTCTTGGGGCTGGACGGCGCAGCAGAGCAGGCAGTAATTTCCATCGCAGTGGCCAGTCCCAGCCACCATGCTGAGTCCAACACTGAGTATCCATGGAAGCCCGCCAGACACATGGGGCTATTTGCAAAGGTTCATGGGCCCAGCATGTGGCTGGATGCAGGACCCCAGGGGCAAACAAGTGCCCCTGGGTAGCCGAGCTGCTCCGGCCCAAGGGCCGAGGCCCCGAGCGCGGTTGCGGGGCCCTCACTGTCTGCTGAGGGGAAAGCCCTGTGTGGAGGAGGTGAGCCAGCATCCTCTCAGGGAGGAGGGCAGGGGATTCCTGCTCGTGACAGCAGCTGGGGGAGCATGCAAATCCTGGGACTGTGCAAGACGTGTGTGAGTAGGTTCACATGGGTGTGAGTTTTCTAGTCAAAAGGTAACAAATGCACAGAGACACTCAGGTAGGGTCTGTAGGGTGCTTAGATATGAGGAATGGAACTTCCTCCTCGAATGCCCCGGGAGCTCTCGTCCACCTTCTGACGCTGGGTCAGGACTTGGCTATTCCCAGAAGATGAGGCCACATGGAACGGAGGCAGCCCCAGAAATACTTTCCCATATTTCACTCACCCCACTAGTGCCCTTCATGGGTAACAAATTCTCCTTACTAAAATGAAGCCTTTTTCATATTATTCAATCCCCAAAGGAGAAGTAAAATAAGCTCTTTGACCACTCACAACTATAATAAAATTCCTGTTTCCTTTCTCTTTTCCGACCTGAGTATTCCACTGTCTCTAATCGGTAGCCCAGTGTTTGGAGGAGCATGCTGATTCTACCCCAGAAAACAAACAGGAATGCCCCTCACCACAGGTACATCAGGATGAAGGTGCGCTTCCTCAGGCGCGGGGAGCGGAACAGGTCTGCGAACGAAGGGCTCAGCTTTTCGGTGACATCCTCTTCCAGGGAGAGCATCTAGGATGAAGGGAGAGCATCAGCCACAACCACGCTGCTGCAAGCTGAGCCCCGGGGGGGCCCCAGCAAGGTCAGACTTGTCCCTGCTGTGCTTCACACCCATGACAGGGAGAGGTTCTGCCACTTCCCCTGGCAGCCCCAGATGAACCTTCCACACCAGAGCTCAGCCCCAGATTCTGTGACATAAGACACCCCTTCCTAGACTTCACCTTTAAATCAGCAGGAGGCAACTTCCCATTCTTTTGAGCGATGTGGTCCATTATCTTTATTGCTTGAGTGTTTCTCCTTTGTGATAACAGCCACCAGGGGGACTCCGGCACACACCTGCGGACACGACACATCACTACCCAGCAACTTCCCTGAAATTCATCTGACGCCCAGCCCTGAGCAGGGAGATGCTGGTGCTTAGTGCAGCCTGCCCTCCTCACATTGGGACTGTAACCCCCCAAGAAGTTGAGGACCTGGGGTCACTGTGCACTGCCTACGTGGCCCAGGTGGGAGCTCTGTAGGTCACTCATGCTCCTAGTGTAACCTAAGATTTATAGACCAAAAGGGAGCCGTCACTTCCTATGTAGCCTTCCTTCTGTGAAGCAGGGGTCTCATCTCTCCTGGACCCTGGCAGCCCTTGTCCCCCAGGGAAAACACTCACAGAGGAGACGCTCCATGTACATCACCCAATGACAACAGGATGTCTCCAGGTAATACAAGAGCTGTTGAACACTTTTCAAAGTACTTCCCAAACAAAATAAAATGTATTTACCACCACTTAAAATCGGATCAACACCATGCTGTCTATTTCAAACGGAATGAGGAGGGTACAACTCAAAGACTGGGCCTCTCTGGCAGAAGGATCTTCTGAAAACTCACGGGCATTGATTGCCTCACTCTGCCTGCCCATGCAGACTGGGGGAGGGCAGGCTCCTCAGAACTCCCCAGCCAGGCATGTGCAACTCTTAGAGGCCGGCTTTCATTTAGAGAGACTGAGTTAACTCTAGTGTCACCCACAGATGACGTCTGCTCTCAGCACAACTAAGACAAAAGGTGGAGGGATGAGAAATTCCTTTCTGTGGCCCTTTCTGCTACCCCCTCTTCCCTCTACCACAATCAAAACTGACCCGTGGAGTTCTTTGCCCTTCAGACCCTGCAAAGCACTCACAGCTAATATGATTAACACCTCGTTTGGACCGGTCTGGTTCCTAATGGCTCGGTGTGCGCATTTCCCAGAGAACATTGCATTGAGCAGGCCTGCTGTTCCTTCCTTCTTTCATTCATTCAGTTAAGATCAGATATCTGCTCTATGGCTAGATGAGAAGGATTTCCCAGTCTTATTAATAATACCAATAGTATACAAAAATGAAGACGTGGGAGAAAAAGAGAGACGACAGCAGCACGGAAGTGTAGAGGGGGAAGGGCGAGAGGGTCAAGAAGATCCAGAACATCTGACTTCATGCAGCACCTTGGCGGAGCTCTAGGGGACCATCAGGAGTAGTGGCCGTTGCAGTAGAATTGCCACGTATGGAGGCTTTCCCACGACCAGTCGCTGATACAGATTCCCCAAGGCCACCGAGCAGCCCACAGAAAATCCTCCTTCACCCGGGAGCCAGGCTCGGCCTTGTGTTTCTGGAAGACGCACATTCTGAGGCCCTGCGTTTCCCTGGATTTCTGTCCGACTCTTGGCATGGCTCACCTTTATCTGGGGGAGCCAGTCTAAAGAGGCTGTGTCTGAGGGTGGCTCCACGCCTAACCAGGGTTGCCCGGTAATAACGCAACACCCTGAACAGTACAAGCAGCGGGAAGCTCCCGCTCCGTGCAGCCCCATGCGGTGTACGTGTGGGAAACGCCGGGCTCCATGCAGCCCCGTGCGTCACGTGTGTGGACACCACGGCCTTTGTAGGACGGCGTGTAGGCGCCCTCCACTCCATGAGCCCGGTCCCACGAGGGGACAGAAAGTGCAGCCGGAGGGGTGGCGGGTGCCCCTTCCCAGTAGGCGGAAGGAAGGGCCTCACCAGTAGTAGAGCAGGAAGAGGAAGGTGGGCAGGGAGATGGCCAGCTGCAGCCAGCGCCAGTGAGGCAGGGCGTAGGCCAGCCCGGTCAGCGCCACCAGCCCCATCGTGAAAGCCATCTGGTACATGATCGCCACAGTTCTTCTGGAGCCCGAGCCAACGAACTCTGTGACTGAAACAGAAGGCGTGGTCGTTATGCGGGTTCCTCGCAGGAGCGCAGCACAGGAGCCCGACGCGGTGCGTTCAGAAGCTCCGGGCCCCTCCGGCTAGTCTCCCCACCGGGAGCCCCCACCCGGCCTGGCCCAGCCCCACCTGCTCCCAGGCTTCTCTCTTGTGTGTCTCCCATTTCTCCTTCCCCCAAACCACAGCCGCGCTCACGCCTCCCCTTTTCCCTGGGGCCGTGGACCCATCAAAAGAAGGCCCGAGAGATCCACCAGGCTGCTTCACTCTCTGGCTTTTCCCTGACCGTCCCCTTCTGCACCTGCTCCTTCACCATCTGCATTCCACTCTGCCTGCTTCAGCACTCAGCCGACAGGTCTCTCCTCCCCAACGCTTTGCTCCAGCTCCAGACTCAGCTGGAATATTTGTCAGGACCCCAGGGGTGTTCACTGATTTAGCAAATATCGTTGAGTGCCTGCTGGGAACCTGGCACTGTTCAGGGTGTCTGGGGTACGTCGTGAGCACTGGAGGTAGAGTCCTGCCCTTGGAGGCCTCATTCCCATGAGGGATGGCAGACGATGCACGTCCCAGATAAGTGAATGCAATCCTATGTTACAGCGTGATACGTGTTATGGGGAACACAAATGAACAAGGGGAAAGGAAATCAGGGGAGTCGCGGGAGGAGGGGCTGCGGGTGGTGCTGGAGCGCGAATGTGGCCCTGGGCCGGCCCCGCTAACCATGTGTGAAACAGTGCCGAGCAGCAGAGCCTGTCGCAGGCTCCACACACATGGGGCTGAGCTAGCTCAGCTCACCAGCCTGTTCATGGCTTCTCAAGGTGGGACCGTGGATCCTCTTGACCCTTGTGAATGAGTTCCCTGAATGCCAAGTGATAGTACCTTGTTTACAAAGACGACAAGACGTGGCTATTGCTTTTTTCCTCCACTAAAGAGCAAACGCGTGGCTAATCCTCACTGCTGTGTGCGCTGCCCTGTCCACGGGTCTGGGGAGTACAGGTAGCTCTTAGGCTACCTCCCTCCGGGAAAGGGTTTTTTTGTTTTGTATTCTTAACCTTCACAGAATATTTGAAAGGAAAAAAGGCTGGCATGTAGACCTCCTCGTGTGGATTCACACTTCAACTTTTCAACACCCTGATGGCTGGCTCTTCTGTTATTGGCTCCTGTTTCCTCTCCGAAGTCTTGAGTGCCATTCAAGCCTGTCGAGTTTGCTGTATTTCTTTTAAGTAGTTGTTGGCTACGATGTAAGATGCTAGAATGTTCTCTCACTTGTCTCCTCTTCTGCACCTGCTCCTGACTGCGAGCATATCAGTATGGGGTCTTTTGTTCCCCCTAGAGATTAGTTGATTAGTAGATCACTGATCTAAGTGATCATTTAAGTATCTCAGATACAAAAAGAGAGGAGAGGAGGCCGTTCTACCCCGTGTCCTGCCCTAGCCACATAACAAGGAACTGGTGCTCCCCAAGCTCCCTGACCCCACACACAAGCCCCCCACCCACGTTAGGCTAGCCCCACTCTACCCCGGACCTGCTTCGGCCCCATGCATAATTACTCAGGGTGTAGCCGGACATCCAGGCGCCCTTGCTGACCAGGCCCTGCAGCAGGCGGAAGAGCAGCATGGACATGTAGTTGGGTGTGAAGGCCATGAGCACACCCGACACCGCATTGACTAGCACGGTGGCCAGGAGGCACAGCTTGCGGCCAAACCTTCAAAGACAAGGAGACATGGAGGGTAGGCAGTGAGGTTGAAATCTGGGGTCAGACATGCACGGTGGGATGCCAAGGGTCGCAGTCGGGGGCCACCGCACCACTGTCTCCAGGATCTATCAGGATAGCAATGCCCAGTGCACCGCCCAGCCCATCTGTCCCAAAGAGCCCTGCAGCCCTTGCCGGGTCTGAAGAGGAGTCTGAGTGCTCTCAGCAGCATCACAGCTCAGCCAGGCAGTGCCCACAGCTCCTCTCCAGTTCTCACAGCTGTCCCCTCGCCTTAACTTCATACTTAGCAGATGGCATCATTATCACCACGGGTCAGGCTGTGCCAAAACCGGGCTTCCTTCCTCCCACAGTCTTATCAACCATCATGGAAGCTTGCCTGTGCCATATTCAGCTCTGATAGTGTAGCCATACAGGGCTATTTCTCTTCTCCTTTTCTCAGGAATGAAACGGGCAAATTACTTGCTAGGATCACACTGTTCCCACCTGATCTTTTCAATCAAGAGTCAAGGAAAGAAGCCAAGGCCAGGCCACGGGGTGTGCCTGCCCGCCCATGCTCCTGCCCACCTGCCCACCCAATCCCCTCTGCCACCCCCACCAGGCCACTTCACGTGTCCACTTTCTGTCCCCTGGCCTCAGACCTCCACCCCTCCTCAGCACGGCCCTACCCCAGCCAGTAAACCCTCGCCCTTTATGAAAACATAGGAACTTCTGCCAGAAGCCACATCTTCTCACCAGGGATGCTCAGACCCAGCAGCGGCACGTGGCTCCTTCCCCTCTCCCTGTCTCCTGGGGCAGCACCTGGCTCTGTCTCCCCTCCTTGTGTCCTGGGGCAGCACCTGGCTCTCTGTCCCCTCTCCCTGTCTCCTCCTCTAAGTGGAGCCCCAGACCCCCACCCAGGCCTGGGTCCCCTGGCCTGTCTCTTCCTCCTGCATCCCTGATTCCCGCCCCCATCGGCATCCTCATTCTGGACCCTCCCAGCTGTTTTAGAGCTGTCCACACAACTCCACTCTCTGGCCTTCCAGTTTTCTCCAACCAACCTGTCCTGGGTGCCCAGGCCCCCACAGCAGATTCTGACCACTCCTCCTCAGGAGCTCCTGGTGCATTTCCACAGTGCCCTGGAGAACAGCTGTCCTGCGATCTCACTGCCATTTCTCCTATGTCTCCTTTGCCAGGGCACTTTCCCTGCCTACTTTTCCGTGCTGCAGTTCTCTCTTGACACTCTCGCCAGTGCATCCTCATATGCTGTAGAGTCTTAAGTACCAAGCACTGGTGACAAACCCCTGACATGGAACTCCAGCCCAGACCCTTTTCCAGAGCTCACTCACATACCCAAGTGGCTCCTTGGCATCTCTTCGTAGATGTCTCAGCCCATGCAACACATCCTGGCCAAACCTAACGCCTCCGAGATAGAGCTCTACCTTCCTCCATGCCCCCTCCCCTATAAACAGCTGCAACAAAATCCATTCCGAATCCTCTACCTCCCATCTCAAAATGGCCTCACGACCATGCACTTGCTGGAAGCATCTACCTGGTCTCTGTCCCCACTTTCTCTCAGCCCCCCCAGACTGGCCAATCTGCATGCAGCTCTGACTCTGAAACACACTCAGATCTCTCCACCGCTCCCCTGGCAGCCCCCCAGTGGCCCAAAGCAGGGACCGCTGCATCTCATCTCCAGCAGCTTCTGTGGCCAATTCCAACTGCTCACACTCCCCACCACTGTCCCTCAGAACCTGTTCTCATGGCACTGGAGGAGGCTTACCTGGACTGGCCTTTACATACCTGTCTGCAATGTAACCAAAGCCCAGAGAGCCGAAGAAGAAGCCCGCGTTCAAACAGGATTGAAAGAGGTCCACCTTCCAGTCGTCACCACACACGAGGTTGAACTGCCGGTCACACCACAGCAGGAGAAGGACCGAAAGCACAGAACCACGTGTGAGTCAGGTCTACCCGCTTCCATCCTCTCTTCAGCAAAGCAAACGCATCTCATGAAACTCAGCATCCCCAGGCTGTTTCACAGAGCTTCCTCCCACGACATTTTCATAAGACACGATAGAAGGTTTCTGATGAATCGCTCAGCAAATATCAAATGCAGTTCACCCTTGAACAACATGGCTTTGAACTGCACGGGTCCACTTATAAATCGATTCCTTTTTCAATAAAAGTTACGCCGAGTGTGCCTGTGTCTCCTTCTACCTCTTCCAGCTTCTCTGCCTCTGCCCCCAGGACAGCAAGACCAAGCCCTCTTTCCCCTCCTCCTCAAGCCAACCCAACGTGAAGACGATGAGGGTGAAAACCTTGATGATGATTCTCTTCCACTTCATGAATAGCAAATATATTTTCTCTTCCTTAGGATTTTCTTAACATTTTCTTTTCTCTAGCTTACTTTATTGTAAGAATAGAGTATATATTGTATTCTTATATACAGGGAGGGGAATATCACACACTGGGGTATGTTGGGGGGAGATAGGGGAGGGAGAGCGGGGAGTGGGGAGTTGGGGAGAGATAGCATGGGGAGAAATGCCAGATATAGGTGAAGGCGAGGAAGGCAGCTAATCACACTGCCACGTGTGTCCCTATGTTCTTCACATGTACCCCAAAACCTAAAATGCAATTTTAAAAAATTACTTGACCCAACAGTTCTTTATCTAGTACCTGTACATCAGCAATAACTAACGTGTACTAAGAGATCCCAACAAAGAATGCATTATGGCATGGTTTGACATAAAAATTAGAAATAATTTAAACATCCATGAGAAAGTCGATATTTAAATTGTGCAATCTTATTATAGAATTTTATACACGTTTTTAGAGAAGTATATTTTTAAGAACTGACATGGAAAAGGCTTATGAACAGAAAAAAAGAATACAGCATGTAATACATATGACATACAAAATACGTGTTCATTGGCTATTTGTATGATTGGCAGAGCTTCCTTCCAATCAATAGTAAGCTGTTAGTTGTTAAGTTTCGGGAGAGTCAGAACTTACACGTGCATTTCCAGTTGTCTGCAGGGGTTTGGTGTCCCTGCCCCTGCATTGTTCTGGGGTTGACTGTATTCCTAATAGCATGTACCACTCCCATCACGCAGGAATTAAAGAGGCTGTTGTCAAGAGCCTTGCTATTGGTAGTTGGTTATCGAAGGACAAAATATCTTTGGAAAAGGCAGCAAAATGTCTTCTCAGAAGAGACATGACTGCTACGTAAGATTTCTAAGAGAAATATAGCCAAGGAAGTAATTTTTCTAAAACAGAAATGTACCAAGAGAAATATGACATGCTTTCCAGAATTGGCCAAAGATCCCTCATTAATTACATATTGGTGATTATGTATTTAGTTATATAAATGACACCAACAGTTCTGAACCTTCTATTGTCACTGTTGGAGCTGTGAGTGGCAACCCCAGAGGAGGGAAGCAAAGACAGTGGGGGTGCCTGGGATAGACTGTGCTTTAGGGTCACGTGTGGGGGTGGCCAGGGTTTAGAAGGACATCAGAGGCTGCCCTACACCAAAAGCCAGCAGACGGGAGGTAGCAAGGTGGAGGTGACAGAGGAAAAGACAGGCACGGGCTGCTGAGAAGGGCTTGTTTTGTTTGGGTTTTTGGAGAAGGCAGATGCTCCCTGCATTTAGAGGCCTTGAGGAAGAAAACCAGGAGCAGAGGGAGATCCAAGAGCCCCACCTCCCACAGCACAGAGCATGGTGACACTCACACATGTCTAGGCATGGTAGAGGCCAGAGGGCAGAAGAATGGCCCCTTCCTCTTTAGAGCTGAGACAGGCAGAAAGAGTGGACTCTAGGGAGAACAGAAGGTGTTGGGGGCCTCTTAACCCCTTCAGTTTCCGGCGCAGCCCCTCCGGGGTGGCGGACACATCCTTCCTTCCCGCCCCCATCCCTCTGCACCGCTCTATCTGCATCAGATCCGTAGCTTTCCTAACCAGAACACTGTCACGTGTGATGGCAGCAAGTCACTTCACAACTCTGGGCCTCAGTTTCTCAGCCCGAAACACGTGTTATACCCGTTCCATCACACCCATAGGGCTGCTGTGTGCACTGGAGGGGAGAAATCACCTGCAAATAGCTTTAATAAATAATAAGCCCTTTTATTTTAGAAACTGGTTTTATTACCCCACTTCCAACCCTCAAATCTCTAAACTTTCTAGTTTGAGCCATGCTATGCCCATCCTGGGTCGAACATTCAGAGCTGGCTTGGTGCAGTAGCTTACACCTTAATCCCAGCACTTTGGGAGTCTGAGGCAGGAAGACCACCTGAGCCCAGGCTGAGACAACAGAGTGAGACCTTGTCTCTACAAAATATTTTAAGATTTGCCAGACATGGTATCATGTGCCTATAGTCCCAGCTACTTGGGAGGCTGAGGTGGGAAGATCGACTGAGCCCGGGAGGTTGAGGCTCCAGCGAGCTGTGTTCAAGCTACCGCACTCCAGCTTGGATGGCAGTGCGAGACTCTCTCAAAAACAAAACAATGTTCAAGGCCTCAAGGACTCTGAACTCAGCCAGCCTGGATTCTGTCTGATGGACTGACTAGTTCCTTGACATGAGCACATTTTTTTCCTGAAATATGGATTAAACTCTGTGTTACCACTTGAATTTCAGAAACAAATACAAGCCTCTCCTAGTAACTGTCTTCTGTCCAGACCCCAGCGTCTGCTCCCGTGGGTTGTACAGCTCTGGGGCATGTGACAAGCTGCTGCTCAGTGTCACTCTCGTGTCCTCTGCCAATCCCAATGTCGATTTCCTCTAAAATTCAGCTTAAAATGTATCTTCTCCATGGAGCGCCTCCTAGGTTTCCCACCCAATGTGTTAACCCTTTACAGCCTGCGGTTCTCTTCCTGTCTGCCCTGTGTTCTGCCACAGAATACACAGGACATGTCCTCCCTGGGCTGATCTGGCTGTCCCAGGGTCTGTCTCCAACTCTCTCTTTGCAGCCTCCACCCGTGGTCTGCTGCAAAAGGTTTCACTCAAGCTGCAGGGGTCGGGGAAAGATGTGGAATTATTGCCCGGGGCCTCAGCTTACTCTCCTCTCAGCCATTGTTTGCCTGGTTTTCGTTATAATCTTTGCAAGTCGGCATCTCTGTGAGATGTGCCTACCGCCTTCCTGAAACACCTGGTTGCCATCTTGCCCCAGGACTGTGTGTGGAGCCAGGAGCTCCTGGAGCCGGAGCGCATCCCACCTTCTAACGCCTCCTCCACAGAGAACTGACTGCCCCCAGGCTTCCCTGAGGATCAGTTTCTAGAGCCACCTGCAAAGCTTGTAAACCTGCCATGCTTCCTCTCCTCCCAAACACCAGCCCAACCACGAGGCCCCCGACACATCTGTGTACCTTGAGAAGGTAGGCCGGGCCCTGGGAGAAGCTGGGGCTGCACAAAGGTAGGGATGGGGTGGAAGGTGGAAGGTGGGATTTCACCAGGGCTGGAGCAGCTCTTTCTGGGACAGTTATAAAGCAACCTATTTGCTTCATCACAAGAACCACTCAGGGTCCTGGTGAAACCACAGATTCCCTGCAGATTCTGCCTCAGTGAGTCACGAATAGGAATCCAGGCGATCCTGAGGATCAGGCAAGTTTGGGAAACCCTGATGTAACTACCTGCGTCTCCCTCGGCCTGAAACCCCTTTCCCTTGCTCAGCATCCATGGCTGATGGAAGACACCTGGCCGGTGTCGGGGCTGACTGAAGCCAGGACTGGCAGAGGAGAGTCAAAAGTCAGGAAAATACCCACATTCCTCCCCCAGTGGACCTCATGGCCTTAGCCCTGGTCTTGGGGTGGTAGTTAAACTTGGTGTTTAAACAAATCAGCTCATCTTCCCTCCTAAAACAAGTTCCAAAGTCCAAGGCAATGCTAGGTTAAAAATTAGTTCTGCAGAAGTGAACGACCAAGGTTGATTCCCCAACAATAATTTTAGTTTTGGAGGAGGAGCTGGGGCCAAGGCAGCTGGGTTAAAGTGGAAGACAGTTCCTACACAGGAGCCAGTTTCCGTCACCCTCCCATCTATCCCCAGGCTTCCAGTCACCTCGGAAAATCTTCACATGAACGCCACCACCCTTCCACCTCCGCGTGGCCCCAAATGAACACTTTCTCTTAAAACCATATCCTCTTCAGTCTCTGCCAATCAGAGTTCCAGGATATTCCCACAGTCCTCCCCAGGGCTCTCTGTCTTGGGTTATGGAAGCCCCCTCCACAGCTGTCATGGACAGGCAAGCTGTTCTAAAGCCCTCTCGGGCCACTCTCGTATGTCCCGGCCTCCCCACTCCTGCTGTGCCCCAAGGTCCCCTCTTACCAGGCTCCTCCACCTGCCCACACAGCTGCCTCTCAGGGGCTCCCAGATCGGTGTTCAAAACCTCCATTTGTCCATGCCCCTCAAGCCAGAGCCCTCCACCAAGCTGGTCTTTTGCTCCCCAGCCCTGGCAACACTGGCATCTCTTACATCATTTCTTCCCTTCATTCCCACAAGAACCATGTTGGCCAGTGCTTCTCACCCAGGCTCTTGGCCCCCTCGTGCACCTCTCTACCTCTCCTGAAGTCTCCAATCCCACCATCACCCCTTCCCATCCATTCGCAAGGTCCAGCTAGGATCGCCCTGCTTGCTTGCCCAAATAAGACCCAAAATCCTTTGTTGGGCACTAAGGTAGGGTTGCCAGGATTTGCACATAAAAATACAGAATGCCCAGATAAATCTGAACTTCAGATAAATAATTGTTCTTTTAGAATAAATATGTTCATGCAATATTTGCATTCACAGTCTGTTATCAGAATCAAATATCATGCTGTATCTGGGATGTAAGTATCCCATCCAACTGGATTATCTGAAGTTCAAAGGTTCGAATTTCACTGGGCGTCCTGTATTGTATCTAGCAACCCCACACCAAGCACTCCATGTTCTGGTCCCAAGGTTAGACACCAGTGTTCTCCCCACAACTCCCAGACATGACCCTCATATCAGGGTTCCTTGCACCCTGAACGCACCAAACACTCCCTGGGCCCTGAGCCTGGGCTCAAGCTCCCCACTTAGTCTGGGATCTACTTCCCCTCCCACCTGCCCCCTCTCCTTGCTGGTCAAAATACCACTGGAGACTCAGCTCAAAGCCACCTCCTCCTGGAAGATGTCCATGATCAGCTCAGAGCTCAGCAGCTGAGATCTCAGCTTCCTTAGAGCCCACCAGCCCCTTTCCGCACTGCTCATGGCACTCACCACAGGCGGCCTTGGGCGGTCATTAAATGGACACTGGTCTCATTCTTTCCACCCTCCCCCATCCCCTCTCAGTCCCCGCAAGACTGCAGACTCCTCGAGGAACCTGACAATCTTCTTCTGTGTCTCCCGCGCGGCATCACACCCAGCGCCAGGACAGAGTGAGCATGCAGGGCATGCTGGATGGACGTGTGATGGGAGGGCAACTACATCTGATCTCCTCAAAGCAGAGTCTGCCTCAGCCCCAGAGAACAAATGCATCCCCATCCTGGTCTACTCTAGATTCCCAGTGGGCCTGTCGGATGGTTGGAGATCCCTGGGAAGTGGGCCGCCTAACTTGTCATCCAATGTTGGAGGATGCCGTGGAGACCAGATGCCTCTTCAGCATGCTAAAGCGCATCGCTTGGGCACATTTTTGCCCCAGGCAAGCAGGGAGAGCAATGCTCAGGCCCAGAGGGGAGGGACCCTATGTTTCCTCCAGTAACATCTCTAAATGTGTCACCACTCAAGCCATTCAGGAAGGGGAAGAGAGGAAGAAGGGAGACCCAAGAATCCCTGAGAGCTTAGGTGAGGGTAGTGGGGGCAGACAGAAGCAAGGAGGGCCCAGTTACCTCTTAATTCAGGGGAGTAGTGCCCGTGCCAAAACCACGCCATTGCTCCCTACTAACAGAGAGCCTCTGACTGGCTTTGGCCCACGGCTTCTCCAACTCACCCAGTGTCCACATTTGTTACCATACATCCCTTTCAAAAGGGCTCATGATGGGGAAAAAAATGTGGTGGCACTTTTTACTAAAAGATTCTCAAGGCAAAATGCTCAAATAACCTGATTTTTAATGAAAAGCGCTACCACATTCTTTCCCCATCATGAGCAAGGGCGCTTTGATGCCGTCGCCCTGTCCCCGCGGCCCCATCGTACTGCACGGGGTGACTCAGTTTGGATTTGCTCAGTGCTTTCACAGACCCCAGCTGAACCTCGCCTCCCTGTGAGGCAGCTGTCATCACCTCTGGTTGACTGATGAGGAAATGAGGCTCAGAGAGGCGGTGACTTACCCAGTGATGCTCAGCTAATAAGGGACACAGCTGGGATATTCTGACTCCCAAGCCAGGGCGGTTCCCAGGCCACTTCAGCACCATCGTTTAGGTCACTTGTCATTGCTCGTGAGTGGAAGGAGGAGCCACAGTACTATTGGTGGGGAACAGGGCCCAGAGCAAGTTGGTAGTTCTGGGAGAAGTCAGTGGGATGATAAGAGAGGCTGCTGGTCTCCCAGACGACTCCTGTTCAAGCAACCCAGCAACCTGGCTCCCCACAGTGCTGGCTGGTCTCTCCTGCCTCAGCTTCCCCATCAAAGTCCCAGAGTTCGTGGTGGATTAACTAGAGAAAAGAATGCCCCATGCCCAGGACACAGCCAAACACCCACTAAAACACGGCCCCACCTCTTTCCTGATGTGGAACTGAGCCTGGTAGGATTTACTTTAGATCTCTCCCTGTCCCAGGAACCCCGTGTTACAGAGGCTCTTTTACCTCGGTGACGATGGAGGAGCCAGACGTGTCGTATACCCAGCCGTCCTGGCAGGGGCCCAGGGGCAGGTGGCTCCTGTTGGCAGCCAGGCTAGACAGGGGGTCCACGCAGCTGAGGGTGCTCTGGTTCCAGTCCACTTCATAGCGCCTGCAGTGGCGAAGAAAGGCCTCGCCCGCGGGCCCCAGGCCGGGCACCGTGTAGTTCAGCTCCTCTGCAGGGCTCCAGCCGCAGCGCAGGCTCAGCTCAGCCACCCCGGGGCTCTGGCAGTGGTGGTCAGGGACGAAGCCCAGGAAGACGATGCCCACGCAGATGGGTGCGAAGGCAAATGAGATTAGGCATAGGGTGAGGAAGGCTTGCTTCTGGAACCAGCCAAACCCCCCAACCTGCTCCAGAATGTCGTCTACGGTGGGCATGATGACTCAGCACGCTCATGGCCGTGGCCGGACCTGCTCTGGGCTGCAGTACCCAGGTGCAATGTCTCCCTTATAGATCTTTGAAAAGGAGTGGTTTGAAATCAGTTTGCTGTCCAAGAGTGAAACATCTGGAAGTCAACCAAGTAGAAATAATCTTTTACCCCATGGTGCTGATTTCAGGAAAAGGGAGAATGCAGGTGGCTGCCTGATCAAATTGTTTGCTTTGCCAGGGAGTGAGTTAGTGGGGTCTAAGCCCTAAGAGAACTGGAGTTCGGCCACAGAGCGAGGGGAGGACAGGAGAGCAGCCGAGCGAACCCCCAGCAGCCCCTCAGGGCTCTTCCAAAGAAAAGGTTTTCCTTCTAGATGTGATGATATGAGGCAAGTATTGGGTGACAGCCAGGTACTAGGTGCTGTATTTGGCTAATTACTTCTGTGATACCATTTAAGTCTTTTTCTAAAGTTCTTTTCCATAGGTGTTGGGGGAACGGTGTTATTTGGTTACATAAGTTCTTTAGTAGTGATTTGTGAGATTTTGGTGCACTATCTCCCAAGAGGTATACACTGCACCCAATTTGGGGTTTGTTTTTTGTTTTTTGTTTTTGAGATGGAGTCTTTCTCTGTGGTCCAGGCTGGAGTGCAGTGGCTCGATCATGGATCACTACAACCTCCACCTCCTTGGTTCTAGTGATTCTCATGACTCAGCCTCCCATGTATCTGGAACTACAGGCATGGGCCACCACACTCAGCTAATTTTCGTATTTTTAGTAGAGATGGGGTTTCGCCATGTTGGCAAGCCTGGTCTTAAACTCCTGACCTCAGGTGATCTGCCCATCTTGGCTGCCCTAAGTGCTGTACTTGAACCTCATTCTTCTCCAGAGCAAGCTCTCCGGATTTATTAAGCCACCTTTGCCCACCTAGGGACTCCTCACCAGCTCACGTGTTGGATCCTCTGTTCATTCCACAGTTACCTGCTGAGTCCCTATATATATCAAGCAGTGTGCCACGCTCCGGGACACAGAGATGAGACAGTCCCCAACTCCAAGCAGCCTATGGTCCACTGGGGGAGCTACTCACAAAGGTGATGGCAGCAGGTGCTGTGATCATGCCAGCTGCAGCAGGGAGGCACTGGCTGGGGCTGCACACTCCATGGAGCTGGTGGGACCCCTGCCTTCCTAGGCAGGACTACAGCCACCCAAATGTCCACTCTTGGAGGCGGCCAGGAGCAGGCAGGATCTGCCTTCCTGGGTGCAGCTACGACTGCCTGACCCACCACTGCAGACCCGGGCATCCTGCTCCACAGAGCACGCAGGAGCCTAAGACAAGCAGAAAGCACCTCCCTTCCAAGTTGGAAGGGTAGGAACTCCCTGGGTGCAGCTGTGGCAGCGCTCCCAGGTGCAGGACCTGGGCATCTCTGCAGCCTGCCCTCTCAGGGACCCAGGAAGACTCCCCCCTGCCACCCCAGGCCCTGCAGGCTCAGAATTGTCTGCTCCCACTGCCTGGCCTCTCTCCTTTCCTGGTGCCCATTCTGATCTCAGAGCACCCGTTGGAACTGAGCCCTGGGGCCATAATGGCAGCAGGCGACAGACAGAGTCCTGGGTGGAAGGGGGCGAGTCCCCAGTAAGGTCCCGCCTTCCGGCCAGGGAGGTCCTGAAGGCTGAGGGCCAGGCTACCAATCCCGCGAGCTAAGTAGAGACTCGTGATGCCTCTTCCAAACCCACCCATGGCTGCCTATGGACCAATCAGCATGGACCTCCTTTCTGAGGTCCATAAAAGCCCTGGGCTCAGCCAGAGCAGAGCAAAGGACAGCCAGAAGATGAAGAGGGCAGAGAGATGACAGGACAACCAGCTGCAGAAAGGAGCACCCTCTCTGCTGATAGCTGGAGAGGATGGAACAACCAGCTGCAGAGAAGAGCTAGCCTCTCTGCTGATAGCTCGAGACAATGGGATGATGGGACCACCACCTGTGGAAAGAAGCTACTGTCTGCTGAGAGCTGCAGAGACTACCTGACCACAGACAGGAGCCACCCTCTCCAAGGTCTCTTCTCCACTGAGAGCTGCAGACATTGGGATGACCAGTTGCAGAGAGGAGCTACTCTTTCCAGGGCCTCCCCTCTGCTGAGAACTGAACACTCACCAGATGACCTGCCTACAAGAGGAGCTAGCCACTGTGAACCTTTTTTGAGCTGTTGTTAACACTCAATAAAGCTTGTCTTAGTCTTTTTCGCCTTTCATTTACCTGCATACCTCACTCCTCCTGGATGCAGGACAAGAATTTGGGCAAAGGCACAGTGGCCACAGAGGTCTCCAGACAAAAAAAGCAACACCTCAAAGATCTTGTAACATTTGGGGGGCTTGTCTGGGATCTGTGGAAGGGTCAGTAAACGCGAATCTGCTTTCTGTCCTGTTTTTCAGAGTCTCTAAAGTCCGTAATAGTCAAGGAAAAACACTAGGCTTGTGTCAGCCAATTAACAACTACTAGCATGGTTGCCGGACTGAAGACTCAGAGGACAGGCTTGCTGGGGCAGATGCTGTCTACCCCCGTCACCCTTGGGTGTTGGCAATATTGGCTTTGTTCAAACCCAGTTTTATGTCATGGAGGTCTAACCCTCATGTGGGACTGGAAAGAGGTCCTGGGGCAACTGAGGGTTGGCCAAAGCTACACCTTAGTGTTATCCAAAGGCCCCTGGACCAACTCCAGTCCCCAACTGCCCATTAGGGTGTCAGCACGATGACTTGCAGTCTTTCCTTCTTTCTTTCGGTCCTTCCTTCCCTTCCTCCCTCTTTTCTTTCTCTTTTTTTCCTTTCTTTCTTTTCTTTCCTTCCTTTTCTTTCTTTCTTTTTTCCCTCTGATGGTGGCACACATTCAGTGCCAGCCCTCGTGTGCCCACAGCCCTGATACAAGTGCCTGGCACATGGCTGGGAAGCAGCCAGGGTGCAAGGGGCCCACTTTCAGCACACTTTGAGAAGAAGCCAGGCCCCTCTGTGGTATCACCTTCCCAGCAGCCAGGCCAGGCCCAACCTGGTGCCACTGCTCACCTGTTCCATGGAAAAAGCAGCTACCCCCCGGCTCTGCTTGCTCAATGGGCTCAGGACTCCTTTCTTTGGCCTGGACCAGGGAGCAGGGGGGCCCTTACCCACCCCTGCAGTCTTCCTTTTCCACTGTCTCCCAGCCCTATGGTTTGGATCCAGACATTCCAGGCTATCAAAATTGCAAAGGGGAGACATGACCAAGGGCCATGGCCAACTGAGAAAAAGCCGTTGCCAACAACCTGAGCATCTAGAATGACAGACCAGGCTCCTTCTGAGCCACCCGCTCCTGATCCGATGGAAGCCATGATACTCCATCTACAGCAGATGAGAAACCAAGGCCCAAGGGGGCAAGTGACCTACCCAAAATCACATGCCTGGTTCTATGTCAAGTCTCAATAAATCAACTCACTCAAAACCCTGTCACCAGGAACTGATTTTCCAAAACGTCCTGTGCTGAAACCCAATTCACTAATGTCCAGCTAGACACAGATTCCTGGTGGGCATCTCATCTGTCCCAGTTCTCAGTGACCCCCGAGGCCAGGGAGGAGAAGTGATCAAGCCAGCTGCCGGAGCCAGAGCAGAGGCGGGTCTCACCTGGAAACAGAGAAGGCAAGAGCCGGGTTCAGGCCCAGATTTGTACATAAATCCAGATGCCTTTCAGTGAAGTGGCCGTCAGCAAACACGGCAGACCAGTCCTGGCCCCAAGGGCTGTGATGGAGTTCTGGAGAAGCATGTATGTGTGAGAAAATCAGCCATGACTGAGCAAGTTGGTCACTGGGCACTGGGCCTGCTGCCCACCTGGTGGTCTCAGGTGCAGAGGGGGCAGATATCTGGGGTGGAAACTCCTGCTCCTGCCACTCTCCACCCCCGAGGCTGTGCTCAGGGCCCCGCAGCCTGTCCTAAGCTTCCGGCCTCTATGGGCCCCCAGGGTTAGCTGTTTCCCACCTTGTGCCAGTCAGGAAGGAAACCCTGCAGTCCTACAAACCTGGAACAGATTCTCCCTCACAGCCTCAGCAGGAACCAGGCCTGCCGATACCTGTGTTGGACTCCCAGCCTCCAGAACTGGAAGACACACATATCCGTGGTGAAGCCTCTAGTCTGTGGTACTTTATCATGGCAGCCCTCCCAAACCAATCCAGAGACGAGGCCCAGCACCTGCGAGCAGAGCCCACACAGGGAGGCTGACCTGCAGCCACGAGGGGCTCCAGGCCAGGCCGGTCATCCAGGCGGCCCCACCACGTCCACTCACCACCCTCCATGCCCTCGTGGCCCATTATGCTAGCTGTTCCCAGGAGCTACTGAAAACGTGATGTAGAAAATCCACTCATTCTCCTAGCTGTTCAAAAATAAGGTCCCGAATGTCCATTTTAGCCCAGGTTCCATGGCATAGGCACTTGTGATAGGAAGAGAAATGCTCATGCCTTCCTACACGGAACTTTGTAGCGGAGGAAAAAAATCCTATTCTGTGTACTCTTTGGTTTTCCGCTGGCGCCCCTATAAAAAACTAAAAGATTAATAAGAGAAAATCAAGTTTCTAGCATGTGCATCTCACACAGACACGAGAGAAACTCAGGAAAGAGCAACTGAAAGAGAGGCTTTGAGCTCTGGCATAGGCAGTATCTTCACTAAGAACAAATTCTTTATAGAAAAATGCGAGGACAAAGGAGAATGGCTTCAGGCTTCCAGGGGTGGCACTGCCAGAAGGCGTCTGTACCACGTAGGGAGCTCAGGGTGGAGAAGGTGTTAGGGAGGCTGGTTACGTGAACACCTCTGCTGCCATCTCCAAGCTGAGCAGAGTCTGCAGCTGTCTTTGTGATTAACTCTTAAGAGAGCCAAGGAGAGACACCTTTAAAAAATGTATGTCCTGCTTTCAGGTGAATACATTTGCTGCTTCTTAACTGTGTCCAGTGTCAAATACTCCTTAGGCTAAAGTGGCATGTTGCAGGTGAGCATGTTCTGTCTTCCTTCAGCTCCGATGGGAGGAATCATGATATGGGGTTCTGTGTGCTCTCCCAGGGGCACAGGGTCTTGGGGAGTGCCCAGCATGTATGTTCACGCATGGCGTGACTGGCGATGGGAAGGTGGCTGGGTGTCTGGGATAGTTTGCTCAG